AAAAAAAAAAAAAAAAAAAAAAACACATCATAGTAAAATTAATACCTTCTCGGCTACGCATCGAAGCTAAAAAATTCGGACTTTATTTTGTTTTCACGGTGAAAAGGGCTATCAAATGCTATTTTTGTTTGAAAATTCTCGATTTTATTTTTTAAATTTTTAACTCTATAATGCTATAACTTATTGAAAAATGTATGGATCAACAAAAATTTTTAAGAGAAATAATATTTTTTAATAATCCCTTTTTAATTCGACATACTTAACTTAATCAGGAGTATTAATAAGAAATTAGCAGATCAAGTAACTTTTGGAATAATCAACCAATTTTTTAAAATTAAACACTAAAGATTTGCATCGAAGCGTTTTTTTTTTTTTTTTGATAGTGATTTTAATCACTGTCAGATATCATACTTGATCCAACTATGCCACGTTACCACTGAGCCGCGAACCCCTTGTACTGGCTTTTTTTTATAGTTACTTATTGTTGATATTATTAAACAATCTCTTATATTACATGTTTTGATATTTTATATCATATACTATTATATTACCTTATTATTATATTTCCTTATTTTATGTTTGTATACAATAAAGAACACCACACACAGTAATAGGCAATCACCATTAATATTAAAGATTTGCATTTTACAAAACCTCATGGTATATAGTAGCATAATAATTCATTTTTATGAAATGATACTTTGATTAATAGACATTGTTATATATAGTACCTACTTTATAATACTTATTGTTATTTCATAATCATTTTTAGGATAGGAATATCTTCATATAAATCCTTAACGATGAATTCTCTTGTGTAAAATTATTTTTTCAATATTTTTATTGAAATTTGAAAATTTTATAGAATGTCAATAAATGCACTACTGATAAACCAAATCCGTGGATAACATTTAAAGATCATATCTTGATTGCTTTACAAATTGAAATAATCGGACGAAAAGGAGTCTTGATATTGGATCCAGGTTTTTTAAATAATAAAGTTATAACTGTTATGGACGATAAATTGAGTCCACATACAGGTAAATATCGTTTTTCAACAATAGCTTAAAAATATGTTTAATATAAATCATGAAAAAATAATGTCTCACTTCAAATCAAAAAATATCAAATAGGTTATTTTCCTGCACCAAAAGACCCAGAAGAAAAAATTATTTTAGAAATGGTTTCTGGCAGGAAATATGTTGAGTATTTATCTTATTTCGAAGGTAAAATACATGAACATAACTTAATTTATATAGAGGCTCCTTATCTTTCACCAATTAGTGTAACTGAACGTAGCAGCTTGGTTAGCAATTATAGAAATTTGGTCACGCTCAATGAGAATGGTCAACTTTTGGCTTCATTTTATGTAGATATCAATGAAGCAATTTTCAGTTTTTCTTATTATAATTATAATAGTCCTGAAGTTAAACACGAGATCAAAGTGTCGTATGAAACTTTCATTTCGAATGAAGTAAACAAATATATATTATTTATATAATTTAAATAAATATTAACGAAAAATAATTAATAATGAATATATTAAATACTTTAAATTATTAATACAATAAAATAATATTTTTTTTTAGGAAATAAGCGAAAATGTTGAACAATATTTGCGTCGACTTAGCAAATACTTTAATCTAAGAAAGAAAGAATTTATAACTATTTTAAGAACACTTTCTAATATTTTGAAAGACGAACAGTTTTTAAAATATAGAGAAATAACTAACAATAACATTAACAATATTCCATACAGGAATTAAATTAAAAATTTAAATCGTCTATTAGTATGAATTTTTTTTTTAACTTTTTTTATACAAAATAATTGATTAATTATGTCTCACATAACACATTTAAAAGTATAAAAACATTATAATTTTTTCTTTTCAGAAGTTAATAGTATATTATGTTTTTATAGTTTTCATTAAAAAATTGGTCCTACTCCCCTCTTTCCTCATTTTTAAAGATGAAAGAGGGGAGTAGTATCAGATGAGTTTTTTGAATTGAACTATATATGTTTGATAAGCATAAAAATAATAAATTGATTGAATTAAGAAAATGACTGGTCGATAACAACTTTTGAACCGTTATTTTAAAAGCACTTTTATAACACAGTGGGGAGAGTAATGTGGTTTAAAAAAGCTAAAAAAAAAAAATAAACAGAACCTTATTTCACCTCTTGTCATTTGTTGCACTTTGGCTTCGCCTGACGTAGTCACCAAACCACACACAAAAGAAACAAACTTTTCTCTTAAATGTTAACCACGTTTTTTTGGCTCTCCTCAAATAAACTTGTCAGAATACGCCGTTCAGCCCAATGCTCTCAAATTAGTGAGCCACTAAAAGGGTAGCCTATATACTCGTCAGCACAGTTATCTCGAAAGTACAGACTGAGGGGTGCTACCCTTTGATAGGCACCAGCACATCTACCTTTTCACTCTACTAACTAAAAAAGACGGTTTAGCCTAGAAACTAGACAGACCACCCACTAACTATTGGAATTGACTAAAGTACTTTGGCCGTACAAACAAAATAATGAAATTTAATAAAATTATAACAATATTTAGTATTTATAACATTTATAAATAATTTTATTGCAAATATAATGGTAAGACACACACGAGCACAAAATAATAAATACACAATACCGTATAAAAACAAAAATTAACGACGATAGAGACGGTCGTGGTCTAACTGTCAATCCCTCATTTTATAGTGTATGGTTCCCTACTCATTTTATATTATTTGCTGATCTTATTTTGTTACAATTTTTTTCGACATCATAATAAACATCATTTGTTGACATTATAAATACAGGTGTCCCCACACATTATAGTTAAGTGTAAATAAATTTCAAAATACGGGTTCAAAAATTATATCAATCATTAACTTAGAAAGATAATTTTCTAATTTGTATGATGGAAAATAAAATGGATACGCTTAATGAACGAGGTTTGAATCTCACCGACACCATGCGATTTATTCTTAATTTTTCTTTGAGTATAAGAATAAAATTCAAAATTCGTTTGATTTTTATCTCAGTAAATTGAATTCATGTTACTTGTGGGAAAGAATTATTTTCACTCTAAGTTACAATTCTATATCAAATCTACACAATTTTTAGATTCCATTTCTAATCGCTGGAACTTAGAAGAAATATAATACATCTTATTTTTGGGCGAACACCTTTCGTGATACAAATATTCCAACACATATAAAATATTAGTATTTATTTATTTATATATATATACACACTTCAAAAAATACATGATTAGATTGCATTGTTTACTATTACTTATTGAAGCGCCACAACCTGGCTGGACAGAGTACTAGTATAATAATATTGTAGTCAAGATTCCAACTTATTATAAGCGTTCAATAAATTGTCTCTCCACTCGTCGACTAGCCAGTCTGATCACAGCCGTTTTTCCGAAAGGCTCGTTGATTGCTCGTGCAATCGGAGTTTAGGACACTAAAATAACTTATTCTGCATAAATTCTATAGTACAGTCATATCTAACTTAGGTCATCCTTCAGGTGATTGAAAAGAAGTTAGCTACATATCATAAAGGTCTTTACATAAAGATAACAATATTGTTTGATATCTCATGTTGACATAGCCAGCTACGAAGTACAAATTATATCGAAGTCGAAATATTATACTAATTTACCAAATATTTATTTGGCCAGCGTCTCTCTATTTTTTGACTAGCCAGTCTGATCCCAGCCGTTTTTCCGAAAGGGAATAGCGCAGAAAATCGGATTGTAGGATACTAGTATAATCTATTGTGCAAAGAACTTAAATTGAGCTCGAATCATTCTGAGGTGACTAAAAAGACGTAGGCCACTTGGAAATAGTTTTCTTGCACAAGACAGTAATGTTGTTTATTGGTTTTATAAATTATTAAAATTATAAATGCGTTAGTATAAAATATTACTTATAAGGCCAGAGAGTACACCATATAGATATAGAAAAAAGGTTTACATAATATACCAAAGTATAAATTAGATTTTATCTTAAGTAGATTTAATATAAAGTTGTACTAGAGAAATAGTTAAACGAGAGTTAATAATAACATAAACCGTATAATTTTATATGCGTACATGGACACATATACATACATATAGACAATAGTGACATCAACTACATGATTCATCTCAACAGAATATCTGTCTTATCAGGATAATTAGAAGTAATTAAAAACATTTATAAATCTATAATAAACACTTCACCGAAGGATTTTTAGTAATAAACAACTAAAGTAACGTAGGTTGTCCAAAACAAATTAAGTAGAATAATTGTATAAAAAAGTACGCGATATTCGTGATTCACACAAATTTGTGTGTACATATTTGTGAAGAGGCTAAATATTAATCTTTCATAGATATTTCATTTTACTTATATATACAGGGTGTTCAGTAAGTCAGGAAACGGGTTTCTATTGTTCTCATTGTTTGTAACAATGAGAACAATAGAAACCCGTTTCCTGACATACTGAACACCCTGTATATCGGACGTGTTTATAAAGACATACATAACCCGAGAACCCATTTTCCTTTCTATTTCATTCTATTATAGTCACTCTAGCCACTCTTACTTTCTTTATACTAAACAACCACCACAGCCTACACTATCTTTTCTTTCCCTCCTTTATTCCTACCTGCACGCTCTTATTCTTCCTTTTTGTTTATTACATATGTTTATGTTTGAAAAAAATGAAAATAAAAAATATTGATAATTACAAATTGTGTTGCATATAATTTAATCCCTGATAAAAATTATAAGAAAAGTTATCGTTAAAAAAGCAAACACATGTTTTTAAATTTTAATTTGTATACTAAAAAGATATATCACAACGTATATACACGAAAAGAAAAATTAGTGTGAAAGTAATTACTTGAAATAATAATTTGCAAACGTAAAATTTACAAAGTAAAGATAAGAGTAAAAAAGAGTAATGTATACAAGTAACGTTTATAAAATGACATCAGTAAAATAACTTGATAAAAAAAAGTACATATAATGGTGTTATAATAAGCGTATGAAAACGTTTATAAATAAAAATTTCTTAAAAAATCATCTATAGCCTGCGGACTGCTGCACATTGGCATAAAATGTGCTGAGGTTTACAAAATGAAATACATAAAACCGAGACAAACTATCCTTTCTAGTTTAATTGTATTTCATTTGTTTAATCGACACCTAGAGTCCTCTCATTTTCAATATCATGATCATCATCATGTGTTATTTGTGTGACACTTGTGGAAAGAAGTTCAATTTTTTGAAATCATTGATACGTCATGAGTTTGTGTTTGAAGAAATTTTCGAGAAAAGATAATTTCTCGAGGTATGATCAGCATACACACGGCTTGATAGATTAGTATTGTAATATTTTAATCTCTATAAAGTATTTTTGTTATTAAAAAATGTAATTGATAGGAACTGATAAAGTATTGAAAATGCGTTCTGTAAATATTAAAATTAACAATTATGGATTGTATTATTACTACTATTATTATTATATCATTGCTCGAAGCTGCAAATAAGATGGATCCAAATTCGATGGATGTTCAAGACAACAATGATGAGTACAGTATGTTAAAATTTAAAATTATAAAATTTTATTATTAAACATGAACTGTTATTATTATTACAATAGTGTTTGAAGTTGTGAAAATTATGGATACAAATTTGATTGACGTTCAAATGGTGATTATGTTACCCTGGTGATTCCAAAAGTTGTTAGTATAAAACAATAAAAATAAAAAATACCAGTAAATGTTATAGTCATATAATATTTTTTTGGGATTGAACGATTTTCAAAAGATATAGAGTTTGAGGATATTAGTAAGTCATAATACAAAGTAATTAATTTTAAATAAATTTATATCAAGTAAAATTTATAAAAAGTACTCTATATTATTAGGTCAAAATAACAAAACGATCGGAATGGAGATAGAACACACGCAACAATCTAATCATTAAAAACAAATAGTAAAATAAAAATGTGAATTTGAATAATATAACACATAAATTAATAACGATATTAATTATAATTCAGGTGATTGTGCAAAGATTTTGCGTACAAAAAAAAGTCCAATCGATTTTTTTTGGGAACATCAATGTACATAGAAAAGAAAACAGCAATACCTGCTCCATAAATGAATTTATCAAACAAAACAGTAACAGCATTAATGAAATATTTGAAAATGCTATCAGAACACATGCAGCTGTGAAGACATTTTTAGATCTAGTTACAACGTATGAAAAACTAATTTTTAACAATAATAATGTTAACACACCCGTTATTACTCAAACCCTTAGTATTTCCCCATTTATTTAATACCGTCGAGTAGTATCCCATAGTGGTTACCACTAATACACGTCTACTACAGAAAAAGTCAGAAGAGATAGAAACTCAAGACAATGGGTGAGTATTCAGGGAGGTTATTTTTTAGATATTACTTGAAAGTCATATCAATAGAAAGATCATACTTGAAAGTACTTTCAAGTATGATCCATTAAAAGGTGGGTGTCATTTTAATTAAAAAAAAATTATTCCCAAAAAATGTAAATGTTAAATATAAGGAAGAGGAATGCTTATATTGAATATATAGTTACACTTATTTTGAATTTTTTGCCCATGCCCACTTAAACCGTGTAAAACGAATTCGAAAATTTGAACTTTCTTAAATAGTTCTTTTTATCTTTTGGTAAGCGCTGCAAGTATTGACTGATTAGAAACGGGCGTGTTTAAGCGCTAACGGTATGAATATCTAAAGTAGATGCGAATACCGCTAAGCGTCGTAACTTTTTGTACTTCTTTCTAAAATTTTTTTTTAAAGTATTTACATAATTCTGTTGATTTTTATTTTAACATGACGTTTAATTTTTTTCTGAATATTTATATGAAATAGTCTATTTCACCAATCTGCATCGATTTGCACAATCGATCAACGCAAAATATATATATATAAACATAATTATATAATATTATTATATAAAATTTATAAACAGAATCATAATCATTGAACATTTTTTTTATGCATGAAATTTGAATGTTGTTAATTATATTCTATATATCTGTGACTCACAGATATATAGATAAAATTATACTCACAGACTGTGAGTATAATTTCAACTACCTATATAAGATTCAGGTTATATTTACAAATAATTTATTATAACGTTCGTTGTTAATTATGTTATGACGATTAACAAATAAAATCGTTGAAAAAACATGTTTGATATAGTTAATGATATTCTTTGCTTTTATCATTAACATAATACTTCTTTGATTTGATAATGATGCATAATTTATTTTAGTTTAAAGAAATAACACTACAAAAACAAAACTAAAATTTAGAGTTTTTGTAATAAATAAATTACAAATAAATTCTCACTCTAAAAAAATATAAATAATTTTAGTCACCCTTCGCTTAAAATTTAGACTTTTAATAATTTGAAGTACTTGAAATACTTTTGAAAAGTATTTTTATTTGGATATTAATACTTAAAAATAAAATGTTTTCAAATACGTATTTTGAATACGTTTCCTCTGTATTATTCAAAATATACATTTCGAGTAATTATAAAGTATATACAAATGAAACAATAATTATAAATAGAAAATACAATGTAATATATGAAAATATTAATAAAATTTAACATGATATTAAACATTTTTGCTTGTAATGACGTATGATAGTGTGTATGAAAAAAAAATTTAAATAAAAAATAAAATTTAGTAAAATTTTACTATAAAATATTTTTAAGAGTAGATAAGTAAATTTATTGGATTATTGAAGAGAAATATTACAACTCCCATTAATATGGGGAGTCACGCAATTTACTAATAAAATTAATAATAATAACAAATAATTGTATTGTGTAGTTTTACTCAGATTATTTAAAAATGTAAGTTCGTCACTATAAATATATATATATATATATAATATTTTATTTAAACACGAAAAGAAGCACAGCTGAACGGTATCTCTTAGAAAATATAAATATAACCCATTAAAATACCCTTTAGAATATACAATCGCTACTTAAATTTTTTTCTTAAGCATCGCAGAGATTAAAAAAATTTATGACTTAATATAATTTATTAACGTAGTATGTTAAATAAATTTTATTTTTATACATTTTTTTTTGTTTACATAAGACTTACGGATGATTTTCGTTCATGAAAAGAACGCATGTGTTTATTTTATTACAAGACGATATACAATTGTCGTTTTACAGTGTAATATTTTAATGTATACAGTGTTACGTACACAACAATATACTTGTTTTTTTTCTCATAATTCACGTACTGTAGATTTCATTACAAAAAAGATCTAAGAATATATTTTTTAAATACAATTTTAAGTAAAATAGGTATCATGTAAAATTTTAAATTGACTAAACAATTTTTTTTTTTTTAAGAAATAAACAACATCAATTTCTATTTCCTGATAATAAGTTGTATTATTTATAAGTATAATAAATTAATAAATACTTGCGAGATTTTTTTGTAAAATAAGTCCCTCAAATGATTTTCACAAAAAAAAAAAACACATTTATGAGCCTTAAACAATATATTTTCAAAAAGATTTTTTCCACTTCTCTACACAGTTGCCGTTTCGTTCAATGCATTTTTGCATTCGAGTTATCCATTTCTTGAAACCGGAGTCATAGAACTCCCCCGTCTGGCTGCATCATAAGCCTCGTCATCGGTCTTGAAATGGGTTTCACCTAAGTTTTTCTACAATTTGGGAAAGAGTCGGAAATCACTTGGAGTAACGTCTAGGATGTAGGGTAGGTAGATGACGGTTTCACATCCACAAAAGTAGACATTTTTGTACAACGCCAGTATTAACTAAGTGCGCAGTACTTCGACAGTCCTGGCATTTGATAGCTGACTGGTGTAATACTGGCTGTTATCATGTTTATGCAATGAGACAGCACTGACCGTAAGTACTGGCTGCCGTGGTATCGCCATTGCTTATCGAATACCGGCAGAGTACTGGCACTACTAAACCTCCAGTACTGATTTTGCCTGGTTCGTCGAACTTGGGCCAAGCGTTTTTAGAATACCGGCTCAATACTAATACTACAAAATCTTTATATCTGAAAAATGCCACAATGAATTCAAAATTACAGTAAATAATAACTTTAAAACATCGTCTAAAATAACCGAATATTTGACATCAGTTATTTCACGACTGATGTCAAAAGATGTGCAAATATTATATAGTGCATACGGTAGAGAAATGAATTGATAAGAAAAATTATATAGAAACATATTTAAACTTTGCAAAGTTTTTTATTTTAAAATTAGCTTCCTTTATTTTTTTAGTTTTAAATTTGAAAAGAAACTAATTACATTTGTGACCTTGATTTTTTATACGTAATTAACAGAAATGTTCCTGATATGACGCCAAAAGACATGTATGAACATATGAATGGCTATTAGTGGATGATTTTTGGCAGCAAAGGACCGAGTGGAGAGAAAAAGGAATTAAATGAATAAATTATAATTCATTTTTTTGTTTAAATTAATTTAATTTATGATCAATAGTTTAATAATATAACTTTAATTCAGTTTAGATAAAAGTATCATATACTCATAATATGTATAATTTAAATATATATGATTTAGATTTTATATTTGTATCGAAATATCTTAGGTAAAATTAGATTTTATATAACAGTAGGGTACTCTGTTTGTGTCCACAATTATGGTCTAAGATTACTAACACTTTTATTTATAAAAATATTTAATATACGCATACTGTTGCTTAATAGTTATATTACACACGATTCAGACATGAGTCAATTATTAGAGTAATCTTAAAAAATCACTCTTTAAGAAATTTATAAATTATAATTGTCAGCAATCTTAATAATAAAAACAATGTGTCAACCCTAATCTTAAATGTAAAAACAAACTATATTAACGTTTATAAATTATCAAAATGATTTGTATGTTACTCGCATGTATTAATTTATATATTTCATGTTACTTTATATATTTATGTTATTCGATGTGTTAATCTCTATATTTTATGATTACTTATCATTAAAATAATAACATTGCAAGAATGAGACAATGGTGATTTTTGGGGATATAAAATATTATAAGAGGCAGAGCAATCCTCGATAGTCCTTCTGTTCTAATCGCACTCTCGACTGTTCCGATCGCGCTCTCGACATCGATACGTTAAGTTTGTGATCATCATTGTCAAAATTCTTACGTGTTAATTTATGAATAAAAACTAGAATTTGTGTTATTTTTTTTATTATTTCATACTATTAAAAGTTGTTATAAGAACAAAGAATAATTATCAAGTAAGATTTAAATCAATAAGAGTCCATACTTATATTATATTAACAACCAATTATTTAGAATTAGAAATCTGAGCAAAGAAAATGATAAATAGATTAAATATTTATATTAATTTTCAAACTTTAATTAATTATTACTGACTAGTTTGTACCTTATACATAATCATATTACATGGTAATCGTGAGATGGCCACCGCCTCTTCGTTGCCTCACTGTATTTAAGATATTTTAAAATAAACAAACAAAAATAAAATTTGAACACAAAAATAGCTTGTTTTTTAACTACGGCAGCCATTTCCATAAAGATGATAGGTCTTTTTTTTTATTTATATTACGTAACCTAAGCTTTAATTTGACATATGTTTTAAGGTCTTAGTATTTTCAAAAAGGGTCAGATTATCATAAAACATATATCAAATTAAAGAAAAATATCTGAGATTTCAATTATCATGTTTTATCTATACTATCTAACTATGCCACGTTCATACTATGCAACAATCCTACTGTGCTACCGTTTTTTTTTTTTGTTAAATATAAATATAAATTTAACTTATGTACAGTATTATTTAAAATCTTGAGTATTGTGCAGATAATTATAAACATATATTTTTTAAGTGTGAATAAGGATTCTTATATTATAAAAAGAACTTATCAAGTAATTTTGCTCTCAACTACACAAATCCGTGTGTTTGATCTAAACTTTTGTATAAAAAGTAGTTGTATATATTTTAAAATTTGATCTGTTTTGTATATCAATAAAATATGTGAAAAAATACACGAGTCACATAATAATGTAATACTTTTATCATGTAAAATTATGATATGGTTTTTCAATAAGTTAGTATATTTTAATATGCTTAAAATGTTTCGATTTATTTTTAGCCTTAAACTTAAGCTTACAAATAATTTAATAATTATAATATTTAAATAAAAAGTTATAGATATCATAATGATTTGATAACTCTAAATATCTAGCACATTATTTAGTGATATCTATTTTAGCAATATACACAATATACAATATATTGTGTATTGTGTATATATATAATTGTAAATTATAAATAATTTTACACTTTTTCTTCACTACAATATATGCAACATTTCCAAGCTTTTCTTTCGCTACAATATTTGCAACATTTATAACGTATTTCCATGTCATAAAAGCATCTTTTGCAATATATTTGAGGAAAACGAGGAGAAAATATAAATATTTCAATATTCTTTTTACACGCCGTACATTTTCGGTCAGGTATAGAAGGAATACCTAAAGTATAATATCAAAATTATAAAATACATTTTTTAACCAATTATAATACAATTTAAAAAAATAATATTTATATTTCTAAGGTAAGTCTATATTTAGTCTTCACCACGCGTATAGACGGAACGCGGTTAAAGCAGCGGTTATCAAACTTTTATTTTCGCGTACCACTTAAGTATATTATTAATCAGTCACGTACCAATTATAATTAAAAATAGTATGATACAAACTTTACATAGTTAAATACATTTATTTAAACAAAAATGCAGTAAAATACTACAATATAATTATCATTTATTTATTATTACAAATTTATTACTGTTTAAAAATTAAGATATAAATTAAAATTTGATATTTGATATTAGCGATGAAATATTTGATTCAGTGTTACTTAATTTTAGTTTGAAATTCAGTTTGTTTCAAAACTTGTTTTTTACTTTGATCATTGAGGAGAATTCACTTTCCCAAAGATAAGTGGTTGTGAATAGTAATAAAAATAACAATGTTTTTTTAGACAGCAACGGATATATCCATTTTAAATCTTTATCCAAAACTCACCCAATTATAATTTAGTAAATTCCATTTTCAAATTTTCATCACATGACAATTCTATCAAAGACTCTTTTTCATTGTTTGTTAGTGTTTTAGGAATATCATCCAAATCCAAAATAAATGGGTTTCTTATCCAAAAAAATTCAGAATAATCTTCTTCAAAATATTCTTCAAACGTTGTTTTTAGCATTTTATAATGTGGTTGTATGTTGTTATGAGATCAGATTTCACTTGAAGTTCGTGTTCTGTCACATTTTGATCCAAATTAGGAAATGACTGCAGGTTTTCATTCGAAATATTATTACTTACCATTTCAATTATCTTAATAAATGCATTAATTTTGTCATTCATTGACAAAGATTTACTTCGTAAACTTAAATTTAATACATTAAGATGATTGAAAATGTCTGATAAGTATGCCAATGTTGTTATACACAGGCTATCTGTCAATTTATCTTTGAGTTCAAAATGGGTCTTGCCTAGGAATAATTGTACCTCAAAATGTAGCTCAATAAACCTGCTAAGCATTTTTCCTCGAGAGACCCACCCTCACTTCTGTATGTAAAAGCAATTTAATCTGATAACTTCCCATTTCGGAACACAATTTTGTAAATAAACAAGATTGTAGAGCCCGATATTTAATAAAATTGACTACTTTTATGTCTTCCTGGAGTACTAGTTTAAATTGTTTTTGCATACGCTTTACTACTTAAGCTTCCCTGAGGATTCTGCAATGTATGAAAGTACAATTTTCTGTAAACAATTTTATTTTAGTCGCAACGCCTCCATGTTTATCTGTCATAGCTTGAGAACCGTTAGAACAGAAGCCAACACACTTTTTCCAGTTTAATCCATTTTCAACAAAAAAGTGGTTCAACATTTTAAATATTACATCAGTGGTAGTTTGTGTTGATAGTGCTAACCAAAATATAAAATCCTCATTAATTAAAGTTTGAAATATATACCTCACGTAAATCATAAACTGAGAATAGTTTGATACAACTGTACTTTCATCAAGTTGTATGGAAAAAAAATCACTATTTTTCACTTGATCCATTAAGTTTTCTTCAGCATTCAATGCTATACTTTCAATTCAGCGGCGAACTGTATCATTTGACAGAGGTATCATATCGAGTTGTTTAGCTGACGGTTTACCTAACATACAAGTTACCATATCTTTTGCCGCCGGTAAAATCAGTTCTTCGCCAATGGTATGAGGTTTTCCACACTTCGCTATTCTTATGCTCACTAAGAAAGATGCTACCTCTGCTTTTTCAGTACTACCGCTAAAGATGATATAATTTTCTTCGTGCTTTTCATCTGTGAAAATTTTCGAACGAAATAGTTCTTTGGTTTGTATTCTAACGTCGAATGTTTTGTAGAAAAGTGACGTTTTAATAAAGACGGTTTCATACTTTGGTTAGATAGAATTTTAAAGCAGATAACACATTGAGGCCGAGGCTCATTAAAAATTTATTTACGTAAAAAAGGGCAGTTCTTGTTCAATATACACGCACATGGAATCTGCTTGAGTATATTGTTGCCTCTTGATTACAATTCTATATGAAACCTACACCATATTACATTTTATTTTTAATCGTCGGGACTTAGAAGAATTATTATACATCTTATTTTTGGGCGAACACCTTTGGTGATACAAATATTCCAACACATAAAAAATATTGGTAATTTTTATTTTTATATATATACACATACAAAAGGTTCATTAATAGATTGAATTGTGTTATATTACTTATTGAAGCGCCATAAATTGGCTGGACAGAGTACTAGCATAATAATATCGTAATCAAACTTTATATTGATCAAAAGTATTCTCCAAAGTGTCTCTCCACTTTATAGTCTGATAGCCAGTCTGATCTAATCAAATGTGCAAAGAACTTAAATTGAGCTCGCATCTACCCTAGATCACTCTATAGACGACTGAAAAGACGTAGGTCACTTGGAAATAGTTTTCTTGCACAGGATAGTAATGTTATTTATTGGTTTTACAAATTATTGAATTACAAATGCGTTAGTATAAAGGCATAATGGCAAAGAGCATACCACATAAATATACAAAAAATGTTTTCATAAAATATCAAAATAATAATAAATTGGATTTTTAACTTGAGTAGATTTAAAAAAGAGTTGTACTAGAGAAATAGTTACACGCGGGTTGATACAATAATAAAAATCGCGTTATTTTAAGTGCATGTACAGAATTACATATCGCTAATAGTGACATCAACTACATGATTCATCTCAACAGAATATTTGTCATATCAAGATAATTAAAGGTAAGTGAATATATTCATTTACATAATAACTCTATTATAATACTTTCACCGAAGGACTCTTAGTAATAAACAATTATGGTGAGGTAGGTGGTCAAAATCATATTATTTTAATTTTTTTGTAAAGAAATACGATATTTGTGACTCGTGTATACGTTTTTGTGCAAGAGCTATATAGTAATCTTTTATTGATATTTCATCTTATCTTACTCATATTTATCAGGCGTGTTTATGTAGGCATACATTCCCCGAGAGCCCTTTCTATTTCATTCTTTTATTGTCACTGCCCAGTACCTCTAGTCACTCTTACTTTTCTTTATACTAAACCACCGCCGCCTTTACTTTTATTTATCACAAAACCAACCAATCCTTTATCATTTTCGTCGACCGTTAAAGATACCATACAGCCATTATATTTTCTTTTGTTTATTACTGTGTAAAGTTTCAATGAGCAACTTCTTTTAGCATATTTAGCATAATTAGCATATTTTTGTGGATTAAACTTCATTACATTTTTCTAAAAAAATTATTAATTTTATTTGATATTGAAATTTTTTATATAGTTAACATTTTTTTTTTTTTAATTTTAAGTATTTAGTTTCTAACACAATAATTATAAATGGAACAAATAATTTAATTTATGAAGATATAAATCAAATTTAATATATTATTAAAAATTTATGCCTAAAGTGGTGACGCAGATAGTTTCTACTTAAAAAAATTTTAAATCAAGAGTAAAATGAATATAAATTTTATTATAAAACATTCTCACGAGTGTATAAATGTATTTAAGATAATATTACAAAAAACTTAAATATGGTAAGTCACACACAATTTACTATCAAATAGTTATATTATGTNAAATTAAAATTACAATATTGATTTCTGTGACAATTTCAAAAGTACTTTTTTAATACATACTTTATACCTTATATATTATTATTATATTTCTTAATATTAATATTTTTATACCTTGGCGGTAATAATAGTGCCGCACAAAAATGTCTCTTGATAAAAAAACATAACCTCGCACCTCACCTTATTAATTTGATTATTTTCTATTTATTTATTGATCTTATAAAATAACAATTCCCGGCTGAAAATGATCATAATGAGGTAGTGGAGAGCGAGGCTAATTGACGTTTGATAAATGATGACCTCGGTTTTATTAAAAATCGTATAATGTTCATGAAATTTTTATGGCAATATTTTTAAGTTTATTAATCAAACAATTACACATTTTTTAAAAACAATTAAAATGAACATATAGGTCTGTTTTAAAACGCACTTGTACCTCTTTTGGAAAAAAGATATAATACATTATTGTTTTAAGGTTTGGGTTAGGTTACATAAGGTTTTAACTTGATTGGACCCGACCGCCTGGAGAAGTGTGTGGACCGGACACACGGTGAGATGTCTTACCGTCTCACGCAAGTGATGTCCGGCCACGGCTGCTTCAACAAATACCTCCACGGTATTTGGAGGGCAGCCGCGCCTACGTGCGACCACTGTCAGGATCGTCCGGGAGAGGCAGACAATGCTCTGCACACCCTCTTCCGTTGCGAGGCGTGGGCCCAGGAACGGGACTCTCTGAAGTTCCGTCTGGGGTCCACGCTCCGAGTCGGGTCCTTAGTGAACCTGTTGTTGGGAAGCTGGGAGGCGTGGAGGCTCGTCCAGGCGTTCGCCGAATCCATCTTGGAAAAGAAGGAGGAAGCTGAACGCCTGAGACAGAGGCAGCCGCGCCGCCCGGTACAGGATGACCTAAGGCGCTGGTTTAGGCCGGCGCCTTAGGTATTCGTGTTTTATGTTTTATGTTTTTGTGAGTTATTTTTGCCCCCTTCGCAAAGTCCTGCCCCCGCCTCCACGTGGTGCAACCCGGGCAACGAATCCCACTCTGGGTTTTAACTTGAGTGTGAATAAATAAATATTGAGTATTCTAAATTTCAAAACTTATTCAAATTAAAAAAAGACAAGTGGGATTTTTGAATAAATTAAAGGGAAAGCGTTGGTTTTGTATATATAATTATATAATAAAACAATTATATAATATATATATATATATACAATTTCAGTATACAGATTGATCTTTTTAACTCAATTTCTCTAAAACTAATAATTTTTTTTATACATTTTTTGGCTAAACTATATATATATATAGTTTTCTGTTATTAAATATTTTTTAGGTCTATCCTTTATACCTTATAAGGGTACTAACTTTTTTTTTTCATATGAAACATATATTTTCAACTCATTGAAATAATAGTTATTTTTTTTTAATAATGAATGGCCTTTAAATTTTTATAAATCTTCATACATTTATTTTATATTTTACTTCAATGTTTGCATTATTAGAGCTATAATGAATGTACAAAATAATAGTGATTTATAAATAGAAGTAGCTAATATTTGTTTTACGTCATGAGAATTTATAGGTACACATTTGTTATTGCTATTTGAAACTTTCATTTGTTTGTAAATTAGATATTATTCAATGGAATAAACAAATATTTTTTAATTGTATGATATATCATAGATAGATTGATTAATGTTAATTATGCTTATGGTTTTATTCTAAAATTCAAAGTTTTAATTGTTCTTTATGATAGAAATGCCAGTATGTTAATAATTTACAACGAAAAGAAATATTCATGTAAATAATTTTTTTAATTAAATTATTTTTCATTTAAATTTCTTTGTTATACTATAACGATAAATAATTTCAATCATATTATAACTTATAAATATGAGATAGTCATTGTTAGTATTTTCAAACTAAAAATTATTTTGGAAATCTGTTTTTTTCTAAACTTCGATATTTTTTTGTAGATAATTATTTAAGTGTCTGTCGTTGACTATTTATCATGTAATAATACTATGCTATTACACAAATTCTACATAAAATCATGTTTTTTGTAAATATTGTAAAAAAAAAAACGTATAGGTATACAGGGTGGCCCACCACTCACTGACAACTTAAATAACTTTTGATCCAGTTAATATTTTTAGTTGATTTTTTTTTTAAATAATAGTTATACGTTAGGTCTATAGCTATATCTCAATAATTAATTTTTTTACATTTTATTAAAAATATTAATTATTTTTAAATTTTAAATAAAATGTAAAAAAAAAATCTAAGATAGCTATTTTGTAGAGTAGAATTTAAGAAAAATTTTAGCAAAAAAATATCATATTAATATTCAATAGTAAATATTCTGTAGTGTTTTGAAGTTTGTGAAATTTTGAATTTTCATGTACTATTTTACGGTATTAAACATTGAAATACGTATTGAGAAAAGGACAGAAGAAAACGCTATCTTTTTAATATACTTTTGAATGAGAGTGATAAGTAATAATTGCCTTATCTAATTTCTTATCATGGTATTAATGCCAAGTTTATAATGTATACATTATATCATTATTACATTATTTCATTAATTAATTAACAAAATAGCTATCTTAGATTTTTTTTTTACATTTTATTTAAAATTTAAAAATAATTAATATTTTGAATAAAATGTAAAAAAATTAATTGTTGAGATATAGCTATAGACCTAACGTCTAACTAATATTAAAAAAAAAAATCAGCTAAAAATATTAACTGGATCAAAAGTTATTTAAGTTGTCAGTGAGTGGTGGGCCACCCTGTATATATCAAAAAATCCTAATTGGTCTTAATTGGTGTATAAAATAGTGATTCATTTTTTTAAATTTCTATTTGGAAATAAAATACACATGCATTTCTCAACTATTTTTAGCGGTGGGGGATGAAGCTGAAGAACTTAGAAATATTATCAATGAGAAGATGGTACATAGATTGCAATGTATAAACATTAAATTTTTAAGGTTTTATAATTTTGTTGAAATTTTGTAATCATATTAAATATTTTATGATATTATATCATAAAAATTATATGTATATCATAATAACTACTGCATAAAATTAGATAAATTTCAAAAATTTAAGTATATTTTTAATTATTATTCGTATGTCATTTGATTTTATGATATTATGATTTTTTTTATAATACAAATTGACTGAATACCAAATATATCTATATATCTAAGAAAATATATAGGCCAAACACATAAAAATATATAAATATTAATAAGATATTGACTGGTAAACAAAATAAATACTGATAGTCATTATAATTTTTACGCTATCGTCTCACTGGATATTATTTTTCAGAAAATATTCATGACAGAGATGATCATATTATTGGTTATCTTACAAAGAGGTGGAATAGTACTTACCAGCTCTGAAGTTCCTAAGGATTTAACAGGATTTACAGATTTACAGATTAACACCAATGAACCAGATAGTAAAATACTTTTAATATTTTAAAATACTTTAAAAAACTTTTCTGAATCTATAACTAAAAGATAAAATTTTTCCAATCCAATTATTACTTGTTTCCATCATTTTATTTAATCACATTAATCAGACGATTGTAAACTCTTCTGAAGACAGGTAAACTCTCACGAGTGAATTTAACTTTACCCGATAAGTGTAAATGTTAATTCTACCAAATGTTTTTCACTTTTACCTGAGGTGTGTTTCTAAACTCTCTACTTTTACTTAAAACTAAAATTCGAGTACAATAAATTTTATAGTTCTAGTACATATACTTAAATTTATAGAGTAGATCTATTTTCTTTTGTATTTGTATTTGTACACTTCGGCCAAAGAATCAACTGATATTGTTAAAATATATGCTATATATTATTATTATAAAACTTGACACGGTAATAAAAGGTTAATAATAATAATGTAAAAGTAACACAATGTTTGCGAAATTGTGAATTCAATTTAATACACCTTTAACTTCAATGATAAAATTAAAATACTTAAAAAACGGTTGACAATATTGAAGCCCGATATGATGATAATATCAAGTCAATATAACTATCTTTCGACGACTCGTGCGGCGGATGTAAGTCACAGGTGGACTAGCTTACATAGTCGCCGACGTGTCTCGCGGTGCTGCACCCCCTGACCTGTTCTATCTACTGACCGTCGTACAAGACAAACTAGTGTTATCGTCAACACTAATGAGTGCGACGATGGACAGCTGATAATCACGACCGGATAACGTGCTAGTTCACTGTAAATGAATAGTGCGCTATTACGGGCCGTGTCAAACTATATAAAATATAGGATTATTCATTTATCACGAATCACTTAGTCAAAAAATAAATATAATATTGATAATTTGTTTAGGTTTCTTTTAAGTATATGTTTTTCTTAATTTATTAATCGTAAAGAATTTTTCATGTTCATACATTATTCCTTATTAGGGTGTCAACTTTATTTTTTTAAATGGTAAAAAACATGGTTAACAAGCTATTTAATCTAATTAGGGAATTAACTAATTGATAACTAATTTTAAACTATTATTTCGATGTTAATAACATTTTACAGTGATGTCTGTGGTTAGTTCGTAGGTTTTTTATTATCACTAGCTATTTCTCGGACGCAACCCCCCCCCCTTAATTATAGAAAGAATTTAATTAATTATTAACAAAAAAATGCTTTATGATTAATAAATTGAGAAAAATGGTGTCACGACAATTGCGTGGAGCCAATTTGCACGCAAGTTCGATATTAGGAATAGTTTATTCATTTAAATAAATCCACCTTATGTGATATTGCACAATTAGAATAAATGTTCAATGTATTCAAACCATTTGGTTTATCAAACATTTAATTAAAGCTAATATAATGCTATTTGAGATAAAAAAAACTGAGTGTGCACTTGAGGAGTGTCGACAGAAGTGGCTACTTCTTTTAGCGTGCTAAGACTGTATGTCTTGTTAATAGGTTATTTTCAAATAATATGAGACATTTTATTCTTAATAATACATTTTTTGTATTGTATATTTTTAATTATAATATTATAATTATTTTAACTATGTATTTCTATGTATTTTGTAAATACAGCTGCTATTGCAGTTCTATATCTAGATGTACTTTTATTTTTATCGTTAGACATTGTTAAATCTAATTTATCTTTTATAAAGATAGATTAATATATAAAATTTACACCCAAGTTTAAAAAAACTTGTGCAATATACGTGCATATATAATAGTAGTACATTAGTAACACATTTAGCGTTATTAATTAGTTAATATCAGTCGGGTTCCTTATCAAAAACCGGATGATCGGGTAATTTAAAAATATTTTTGTATATATAAATATAAATATTTTGTTTTGAAATTATCACTGACAATTTCTCTGGAACACTTGATAATATAGTAGCCGAATGGTACGTTTGAAAAGAACTCGTGCAATGTATGCAATTGACGACTATTGTGGTACGATCTAATAATGATATTGCAGTCTACTCGGATACATGTTACCTTGGTAATTGACAATGGAAATATTCAACGTGTGTTCAATTCTCGCTAGCAAGACGCGATGTGGGATTCCCAGTCTTTGACCAATAGATTGTTCGTGTGTAAATCTATAGGATGATTAAATTTGAATATTGTCCGCTAGTGTTGCGATCGGTTATGATAGAATTCTATTTTCGATCAATCCACTTTTTGTCTCCTATCCCGCTATCGTTGCTGCAGCCATGTTCTTTGAGTAAACCAATTGTTGACAATACTGGATCATCAAATTTGAACAATCATGTGGGCAGTGTTATTGCCATAATGGATTTGATAATGGAAAATGATTTTGCTACAATCTTCGTCAGTATTCAGTTTTGTGATCACGTATGTAAGCTCAACTGCCCGATTTTACATTATTTGGCGACATCGATGTATGAATTGAATATGTGTTTTAATTGCACGAAAATTCGTCATTTAGCAAAGGTTGTAGGTCACCTCCAAGCAATACGACGAGCCCATCGAATTCTATTTAATTCAAATCTAATCAACCGAAATAACGTCCCAACTTAGCTAATGTGCAAATTATTGTGTGCCACTATATTAAATAAACGAACATACTCTTGAAGAATACAGAAAACTACAATGGGTTAATAGCAAGAAACGCGTGAAATGAAACCTGACAGGCAATCTCTTGACGGAAAACCTATCAATAGCATAAAATTAATCCATCTCTCCATTTTACCAAAAAATTAGATAATAATTATGTAAGCAGATTAGGATAAACGATTCTCTGAACTAACGTGATGCATATATAAAAGAAATTTAAACAAAATTTAACATATCTATAATAAATTACATGAGTTTTGACTTAAGGTGTTCTCTACTTAAAGAGGAAAAGTCATTAGAAAGTCTTTCATTATATAATCTTATAATGCATAGAAAAAACTTAAATTTAACATAATTCTGATCTAGATATTTCAATGCTATGCAAAATACTTAAAAAATAGCCATTTTAACTAAAAATTGTATGATTTTTGGCTTTAATGCCCAATAATTCCTAGAAATCTTAATTCTAGAATTTAGAAACTACACAAAAAAAAAAACCGAATTATAGTCAAATTAATACCTTCTACATTTTGCATCGACGCTAAAATAATACAAATATTCAACCAATCAATTATAAAAAATTTTATAAAGTAAAACACATTATTATATGAATCTTAAATGTTTAAAAGAGTTTTTGATTTTTGAATACGCTATTCAATTATTATTGAGTGTTATCATAACGACATTCAAATAATAGAAATAAAGAGTAGAATTATAAATAAGATAAATAATTAAACATTTGTAAAATTTCTAATTTACATAAGTTATTCTTTTTTTAGACTGTCCAATATGTTTCGCCGACCTAATGGATGATGTTTCACAAACTATATGTTGTAAGAAGATATTTCATTCTGAATGTTTAGATTACTGGATTGATCAACCGAGAAATTGTCCAAATTGTCTCCAAAAACCATTTAAAGGTATAGAATATTTTAAAATATTAAAATATAATTAGTATAATTATTTTTCCTACTTAGTGTTAAAATATATATTTTTCTTTAATACTCGTGCCGTAATAAAATAATTCTTATTAGTTTCATTTATTATGTATTATCACTTATACATCTGTCGCCAAATCGGCAGCGTCAAAATTCCCAATTACCTTCCTCTCAGTATTTTAGTAAATAATATAATTTTCCGAGAAAATATAAAAAGTAATTAAGGTTCTTATTTTAGATATTACCATTGATAATATCATTTTGATCCATGCGTTACTCATCAAAACTGATTTATAAAAAATAATCCTATTTAACACTTATAAGAACACAAAATTTGTAAAGTGTAAAATTTTTTATTTTAGAATGTAAACTGTGTGGAAAATTTTTACATATAAATTTGACTAATATGAAGTGTTGCAATAGTCAGTTTCATAACAATTGTCTAGATGAATGGTTTAGTAAATCGAATAAATGTCCTGGATGTAATACAAAAATACCACGTGAGTATTTGATGATTTTATTATAATTTAATTCGATGCGACGCTAAGAAGGTATTAATTATACAGTTATGTGTTTTTTTTGTCTGTCGCTTTAATGATAATAATTCTAAGAATTTCACGTTTTCAAATAGTTATTTTTTCTAATTAAAGTAAATTGTATTATCATTTATATAAATATGGTTTAAGTTAATCACTCTTTTGGAAATATTATAAAAAGTATGTTTAAAACATTTGAGAAACATGTAACTGCCAATACATAATAATAATGAAATTCAGCTTGATTAATGCTTGAGGTTATTTCACGTATAACTATTATCTTTCTTTATTACACTTCTGATTTACTGTTTCTGGATAAGTTGACCTATGACTAGCCCATTAGGGTCAAATAAATAAAAAAAATATACCAAATGATAGGTAAAGACATTATGCATTTATAAAAAAAAAAATTATATTGATTTAGTTATTTTTAAAAAGTTGTGGCAGTAAAAAAACATTCAAAAATTAGTGATTTGCCATTTTTTTCGATATTTCCCCCATTTACGGGGAACAAGGGAAATTTTTTCATTTTCGAGACTAATTTCTTCGACTAGATACAATTTGTAATCTCTTGACGTATCGTTAAAAGAAATCGGTTCGGTGAGCACTGAGAAAAAATGGTAACAGACACAAAAAAAAAAAAGAAACACATTACAGTGAAACTAATACCTTCTCAGCTTCGCATCGAAGCTAAAACAAAAACATATAATTTGTTAAGTGTAAATTTTTATTTTTAGTATGTAAATTATGCAGAACAATGTTACTTGTAGATGTGACTAATATGAAGTGTTGCGAAAGTCAGTTTCATAATAATTGTTTAGATGAATGGTTTACTAAATCGATTGCATGTCCTAAATGTAATACAATGTTATTACCACGTGAGTATTTGATAATTTTATTAAAATTTAATTATAATTAATTCGATACGACGCTGAGGAGCTATTAAGTTGTTTTTTTTATATCTGTCGCTTTAATGACAATAATTCCAAGAAGTTCGCGTTTTCGAATAGTTAGTTTTTCTAGTTCAAGTAAATTGTATTATCATTAATCTCCAAAAAAATTACAAATTTAAAAATTATTTATATATCTCTTTTATTCAAGATACTTTTTTTTTAAATCGAACCATTTCTCTATAACTTAAAAATGCATATAGAAAGTAGAATTTTTGAAAATATTCCGGAAAGTCTGACACTTATATATATATATATCTTAAATTAAAACTAATGTAATATACTTTATTGTGGAAAAAAAATGTCGGACTTTTGTCTTCACCGTGAAAACAGACCTTAAAGTTAATAAAAGAAAAATTAGCACAGTAGGGACGTGGCATAGTTAAGTCATGTATAATGATATCAGACAATGATTAAATCACTATCATAAAAAACGCTTCAATACAAATCTGTGAATAGTGCTTAATTTTAAGAAATTAGTGGATTATTCCAAAAGCAAAATTAACTCCTATTTTTGTTCTACTTTGACTACCGTTTGCGCATAGAAAATAGGTCATAGGTACAAAATTTTTTTTTGTTACTATAGTACGTCATATAAGCTTTAATTTAAGATATTTATATATAAAACTGTTATTATTTCCGAAACATTTTCAAAATTTAAGTTGAAAAAATAAATTTTTTATAAAAAAAGGTGCTATTTTAAAACTTTCCTAAGGGTAGGTCAAGGGTCAGAATTTCAAAAAGATTATATTATATAAAATGTAAATACCTATGGTTTCTATTAGAAAAATGTATTTTTATCTGATAATTTTAGAAAAAATGATGGCAGTTTAAAAAAATTAATTGAATAAAATGTCAAAATTTACTGATTTTAAAAATTTAAGTGTTTTGGGGATTTCCTCCATTCACAGAGAACGAGGAAAATTTTTTCAATTTTAAAGGTCAAAAGATCACAAATCGTATCTAGTTGTCTTCAACTAGATACCATTTATGATCTTTTGACGTATCGTTGAATGATCCGACGGTCCGATAAGAGATGAGGAAAATAGAGACAGACATGAAAAAAAATACATCATAGTAAAAGTCTGCTCAGCGTTGTATCAAACCTAAAATAAAGTTTAAATTTTATGTTTATCCAAAGTTCTTTGATTAACAGTTAGATCTGTTCCACTATGTATAATATGTAAATTAAATAATTTAAAGTATTTTTTTGCAGCTGCTGACGGTAAGTTTCTAATTTTTAATTTTCATCATTTAAGTATTTGTTATAAAGGTAATTTAAATTTTATTAGTAACCTGTAATTACAAGCCAAAGATAATGTTTAATATCAGTAAATTTTATCTTTTATTGTTCCTTTATTTAAGCTTTCTTTGGGACCGTAATGCTTAAAAAAATTTTTATTAGCTAAAAATTAATTTTTACATTATTTTAGTTTATTTAAGCGAAGCCTTTTAATGGAGGTTTAGATTTTTTATTATAATAGGATCAATGGTTTTATAGTCTGTCAATGTTGACACTTGTAGAAGAGTGAATCAATTCTATTACCTATTAAGCAATGATGCAAATAGGAAAATGTGAAGAATATGGCGGAATTAGGGTTTATAAGACTAAGGTGACCTTTCTATCGTTTCATGTTAATGATTTTGGTTTTTACTTTTTAACCGAATTAGAATGGGCCCTTTAATGTTTTTCATATACAAGCCAAATTTACAATTTAATATTGTTATTAATCTAATATAAATTTACATTAACTCATTTAAAATGACTAATTAATATAATGTTATGAACAATAAGTAATGATATAAATTTAAGTTATTTATTTAAAGAATAATTAACAAAGCCGTTATCAAAATAACTTTCTATATAAAATACCATATACATTTTTAATGACTATTAGTGATGTGTAAGTTATTATAATATAATAATTACCCCCATATATAAAATTTGTGTTGATCAGTATTCTATAAGTTAACTTTGGTAAAAATTATTTTGAGACTTAATGGTTGTTGCCGTCATTTATAGGTAATCGCACATCGTTGCACGTATATCTCTAATTCCACGTATTTTAGTAATCTGTACATTACTTGTGTATTTTAATAGTATGCCGTATATTTTGCAACACAACCAATTACTTAAAATTAATAATTAAAATAATTGTATCTAGGTACCAGATTTTAATGCAAATACGAATTCTTCAATAACCTTGCAAAATAATTTTGATTACAATTGTTGGCGTTTCGTAATATGCATATTCTAAATGTAAATTTTTGTTTTGCAAATTTGAGAAAAAATTGCTATAAATTGCATATTTCTATATTATTGTATAAGAGTTACATTTTTAGTAATGATAAATACATTTTACTTTATGTTGTAATATTAAAAGTTAATTTTATAAAAATTTGGCTCTTACTTATAAGTTATAACGAATCATCAATATATTTTCGATATATTTTCTGTTTTTATTTATGATATTTGTTTTATTTCGTTTATAGTTATGTGTTGCTTGAATTTTTTTTTTTTTTTTTTGCATTATACGATTCCAACTGTTTTTTAGTACTATAATACAGTTATAATACTATAATCATAACGTTATGAAAATGATTTTAAGCCCTGATTGTTTGAATTTTCAAGACATATCAAAAATAAAGTCAAAAAAAAAAAAATTTACTCAGATGGGTTGTTTAGATTTGTCATCAGATTTATACAAAAAGCATATTAAAAAAAAGCTTACTATTTTAGCTTCGATGCGAAGCTGAGAAGGTATTAATTTTACCATGATGTGTTTATTTTTTTTTTTATTTTTTTTTTTATTTTTTTTTTTTTT